ACTTATAATATTAATATATTGTATACTTATAATATTAATATATATATAATACTTATAATATTAATATATTATATACTTTTCTCGATGAAAGATTATTGATTATAAATGATAGAAATAAAAAGATAAATAAAAGAAACTATAATCACACACCGAAGTAGACAAAAGTCAACAGTTAACGGTCTATCCTTGTCTCTTTCCAACCTTCATCGCATCAGGATCTTCCTCTGTACGTTCGTTTCCGTTTACTAAGGATTACTCTGCGCATTGTTTGCCGATCGTGGGAATAACTCGGAATGCGATTAGGATGAATGGAAGAAAGGGAAGAGAGAAAATTCATAGTTTTGACATTTTCTAGACAGACGAGGGATTCCCCTCCCTTTCTTTCTCTCTCTCTCTCTCTCTCTCTTTTAGATGGCATGTAATAAAGCTATTTCAACTTAAGATATATATTCATCTAGTTAACGTAATATACCTACACATTTACAAACGTATAAACATAGATGCGTTAACCATATAGAAATCTAACCACCATCGCTTAATTATATCTAACGAAGGTATAAGCCAATTTAAAAAAACAAGTCGCGGAAGAACTTACTACCACCTGCTTTTCTTACCTTCAACACGTCATCATCATCATCATCATCATCATAATCATCATCGTTGTGTGATCATGATGATCATCACGCACCATCGTGTACAACCCTATTCCTTTAACGACGCTTCTCACGCGGAAACTCTCAACTTCTGCTTCCGATATCCCGTACTCACGGAATGCACAACAACAAAAATGAAAAATAAGAATAAGAAGAAGAAAGAGTTTAAAGGAGAACGCGTAGGTAGTCTTAGGGGAAACCGCGGAACGGTTTCCCCCATTCTCAACTTCTTCACTCTCTCGACATTTTATGGCGATCGTTAAATTATGCTTCGGTCAGCTGTAATCATGGACGTTTCAATAGCTTTCGAGGAATGCACTGTAGGATACTTATTCGCGACTTTTTCCCCTATATATATCCCCTATATATATATATATAGAAGAAATTCCAATTCACGCAAGAAGAACGTTTCTCCGATTACATTTGGAAAAAAAATCATTTTCTCTCTATTTTTTTCTGATTTCTTTTTGTTTGTTTTTTGTCTTTGTTTTGTTTTCTAACAATTATTCTCGATTAGCTTGCAGAATTCGATTTCTCGTGTAAGTAAGTATAGGTAAGTGATACTCCGAGCTTTTATCAATTACGAATGTAATTACAAGACAAAATATTTACCAACTAACGTATTGAAACGTAGTTAATAATTATTAATTGTAAGTTTTTTTGTATTTGTATAAGCAATAATATGTCATAATAAAAAAATTTTAATTGCTGAGGAAGTCTCAAATAGAGACGAAACGTTCAACGGATAAACATATTGTTCATCTAATTTTAAACCTGTCCAAAAAATAACATCCCTAAGAATTAAACTTAGTAATAATATTAGGAAAATTTTGGATAAGAAAAAAATTTTTATCGTAGTTGATAAGTTTTCTTCTTTTTTTTTTTTTTTTCGTGTAAAAAAAAACTTTATCTCATTCTTAAACATCTTTCCCTGATTATTCAACGAGAGTTACCGGTACTTATAAAAGGCAAACCTAGTCGGTACCGCACAATATTTCCGGACTACGTTATCCTTATGAGTATGTGGAATGGTTCTTCTCTCGTGCGAAATTATATATTCTCATACTTATGAAATTATAATTTCCATCTCGCATTAGCGAACTATGGTCTAGCGTGCGCAAACTTATAAGAAATTAGTACCTACGCTTCGAGGAGTCTTAATCTGACGATCGTCCGTTGGCTTGGGGTTCGTATGTGTATGTATGTGTGTGTATATTTATGTGTGTTCTTATGCGTTAAAAGTAACGTAACAAAACTATCGAAATATTTGATGATAAAATAATTATCATCATCATCATCATGATTATTATTATTATTATTATTATTACTACCTCTTATTATTAAAAGAACGGGATAAATAAATGCACGATAGGAAACTCTATATGAATATATATATAACATTACATTAAGGGGTTACATGGGTTTACACCGGGAAAAAATAGCATATTTTCAACAATTTTTTTTTCTATATAAAAAATGGAATTCTTATTCAAACTTTTTATAGTATTTAAGATACATATTTAAAGAANGGTTTACACCGGGAAAAAATAGCATATTTTCAACAATTTTTTTTTCTATATAAAAAATGGAATTCTTATTCAAACTTTTTATAGTATTTAAGATACATATTTAAAGAAGATTTTCTGAATTTTTGGTTGAAAAATATTTTAAACTCAGCTATTGCGACGTCATTTCCGGTGACCCCACCGAAAAAAAGTGTTTTCGCGTTGTCAGCAGAACTTATAAACGGTGGGGGTTTTTCTGTTCAAAAAATAGGGTCTTTTAGTGAATACTTAAAGCTAGAAACTGAACGAAGGAAAAAGAAAAAAATTGAAATTTGGATTTTTGGCAACGTTTTTTAGCAAGAACATTCAAATTTCGCTACAATTYGCACCACATTTTGGTTTCTTAAAATTCGATTTTATGAAAAAAACGAAAATCCTTCGTCCAAGYHYTTGTMRATAGTATCACGAAGACGTGTAGCAAATTTCATGAAAATCGGTTAAATAGTTTTCGAGAAATCTTGACAACCGACTTTAGAAAAAGCGTTTTGAGAAAAACGCGTTTAAAGAGCCATTAAAGAGTGCAACTTCCCAGGGCTCTATCTTTAAAACTACTACTCCTATCGACTTCAAAATTCAATACAATATTATAGATGAATTGTAGAATTGAAAAAAAAAATAAAAAAAAAAACTTTTTTTTGAAACTCCCAAACCCATGTAACCCCTTAAAGTAATTTATAAATACATTAACAATCGTTTACTCTTTCAATAAAATATCATACGAGACACCGTTAACCAATTCAAAGTCGTCTAACTATTAATAACATTTTTGTATAATATCAATACGACGAAGAAAGTAGAACGATACAACACTTGTCACAACAACGACGACGACAAAGACGACGACAATTTGAATATAATCGAGACCGTAAATAAAAGTTCTTCATGGGGTTATTGGTCGCAGGGGTCTTCTCTTAATGTTTAATTCAATTCGTTACGGGTTTTTTCCTCGAGTCTAGTTTCGATTGATATACGTTTAGAAACAAACGTCAATATAAAATACGAGACCCGTTGTTGGTGTATATATACATAAATATTTTCAAGTAGAATCGATTAACCATAACTTCCTGCCATAATTACTGTTATATTCCATTGAAATATCGTTATTAAAATTCAAAGTGCGATCATGCGAGCGTAACTCCTCGATTCCATTTCCTGTCATGAACGAAGAAATGTTCGGGGACAACGTATCCACCCCTCCTCACCTCTCACCACAACTCGTCACTCTTCGTGCTCAAACTATGGAAGATAACTTGTCGTAAATCGTTGATTTTTAAACACGATTGGATGGTAATAATTTGAACAAAAAAACAAAAAAGAACAAAAGTGCCAGTACGAAAGACAATGTATGGAAAAAAGTATGAATTATTTGACGTATGATACATGCATGAAATTAGAAAATACAAAATTTAAATAAGAAATGTGCATGGGGGGATTAAGAAAAAAAAAGGAACATTAAAAAATAATGATCTATGGTGGAATGCCAAAGGTGGCGTTCCGTTTATTTTTTAAAATTGTGTTTGCATATTCAATGATGACAATGATGCCTTTGCGTGCGAGAACCAACGACCGACGTCTAGTGAGAATTATTGTAATTCTATGTGCGAGCAGGGACCCTAACCGTCTCCGAGGGGGCAAAGGGGGAGAGGGGGCACGTTGCGTGTGCATATTCGATGAGAAGCATCGATGAAAACACGTTAGAAAATTGACTACCATCTATATACCTGTTCAAATATTTCACACGCGACCTACCTGTTTAGAAATAATGACAACGTCTGTATGTATATTTCATTTAAATTTATCAATAAGAATGAATGCACGTTTAACGTTTGTATATTACGCAAATAAACGCGCAAATACACGGGGGTATATATTTTGTTAAATAAATATTATATAAAAAGAAGAATGTGTGTTATAGAGAAATATAATAGAAAAATATTCAATTAATAATTATTTCGCGACGAGTAATATCGTTGGGTTAAACAAATACTCAATGATATATTTATAATGATTAACAATATCATTTGTAAAAAGGAAAATACAAAAAAAATACATTTATTAAACTCACCAAATGAATAATAAAGATGCATGATAGTAGTATCGTAGTAGAACGATATTTAAACATTGTCACTCTACCTGTGTCTGTTACTTTATAATTATAAATAAAAAAGAATAATAATAATAAATAAAAAGAAATGAAAAATGTGAATGGATATCACGTGGCGCGAATGTATACGTTTTTTGCGTGAAATATCCTCACGAATTTAATTGTTGTTGTTGTTTAACTCACACACGGGGAGGAAGGAGGGTTTGAGTAAATGCGCGTTGTTTCACGCACGCGCGCTAAAGATGACTGAAGAAGAACCGAAGAAGAACTGAACGGGCCCTCCCTGAATGCGCTTTTGGCCTCAAGCAGAAGTATCTCGGATAGAAAAGCAAGCAACGGGCACTAGTTGGGCCCCGTTCAACTCCCACTTCTTCTTTTTCTTCTACTTCTTCTTCTTCTTCTTCTTCTGACTCTAACTCTGACTCTTTATACTCCCCTTCCTCGTATTTCTTCTTTCTTTCTTTGGCTTTCAGCATACTAAAGCGAGGATGTATCGTCCATCGTCCAATACTTTATTACAGCTATCAAACGTTCTACCATTGCAATGGAATATACCATAACGTGTTCGATGAATGAATAACATAAATAAATATCTCCGTGGACTCGTTTAAAACGTTCAACTTTTACAGAATTATCCCTCGGACAAACGTATCTAACGGTATACAATGACCAGTGTTTCACAATATTTGTATATTACACGTTAGATCCTACGTGTACACCTTTAACCCAAAAACTAGCTCAACTAGTTACGTGATATTTTTTGTCTTCATTCGTTATTGCATCAATCCAACGAGAATACAAATAAAATGGGACATTGTTGCTTATGCTCGAAGAAATATTTTTTATTAAAAAACGCGTTCGTATTTTATAGAATTGTTCAGACATTTGCATACATTTCTTTTGTTTTCTTGTTACGAAATTTTTAAAAATTCGATCAAATTTTTATATACGTCTTTGATATTAAAATATTATAATACAAGAAATATATACTTTTGAAAGTATTTTAAAAGTATATACACAATTTTTTTCATAACTAGTGAACTCTACTTTCTCTCTTTTTCATTATCATAAAATTATGAAATAATTGTATTATTTAACAAACAATAAACAGAAATTATTACGATGTTATATTAAATTTTCCTATACAAATGAATTTTCTTCGACGATATTTCCCTCTTAACCCTTCTTTGCATGATGATGGAAATTTCAATCATAATATTTAATCAACAAAAAAAGCTACTCAAAACCCTTGTACTGTATATTTGTTGTTGCTGGCAACTTTTTAAGCGACTATTGCGTACAACAAAACGCAGTTGTCAAAAAATAACACTAGGATTTTTTTTTAATATTTTTCCTTTAATCTAGATCATTAATTACATCATCCTGATTTATATATTTTTAAAAAAAAGAAAAAATCATGCAAAGAAGAGTTAAAGAGAAAATAAAGAAAAAGAAGAGAAAATATGTAAGGAATCTCTAAAGTCGAATAATCTTGTCTTGAAATACTTAGAAACTCAAGATTATTGTGAAAGCTGGGATAGTGGTTACGCTAGAATAATTCAATGATCATTTGAAAAATAGATGTAGTCTCTTCATCTTTGCGGTTCATCTACACCGTTCGATTTACGTGGATGAAATCGGATACACGCCGTTACGTTTCATCGAATAAAACGTTGTCCACACAACCAACAATTACGACGACGACAACAACAACCAACAACGACGACGACGAAAACTACGGGGAAGAAAGGAGGGGGGGGGGAGGGAAGAAAAAATACAAGAAGAATAAATCGCTAATACTTTTGCGGTTAGATGACTTTACGAGCCGTGACTTTTTCCATGCGCTCTTTCATTTAATGCATTGACACTGCTGCGGAGGGGGGAGGGGGGCTCTTCTTTCTATTCGAACATGCGTAACAACTAACGGGCTAATGTCTAACGTATGTAAATAAGTATTAAACGTTTTACGAGAAAGTCCATCGAGTTTTCTAACTTTTTTCTCCCCCCCCCCCCGTTTTTTCCTTACTCTCACAATACATTCCCTTCGACTATCCCCATTTAGTTAAGGCTATTATTTGATTTTTACAGTTTGTTCTTTTTCCATTGTTATCCCCCTTGTTAACGATAACGGTAATTAAAACTCTACTTTTAACTATCCTAAATCTAAATCGAATAATCATACACTTTAATGCACCTGTTTTGTTATTTTCTATCGATCGATGA